AGACTGTTTCAAGGCGAAGACATTTTCAAATCCTCAGTTCTACAATGATTCTATTCTCTAAATGAAATAGCCCAAAAACGACTTCATTTAAGACTGCTCTTTTCCATACAATTACAATGAACAGGAATGAAGCTTTCAAGCATCAAAAAGGACACAAAAGCTCCATGAAAATATCATAAAATTGGTCCATAAGACACCTGTACTGTACATTCTTCTGACGTCATACAAAAGCTTTGTGCATGAAACAGACTTAAATGTAAGTTTTAATTCAGGAAACTTTGACATAATCGAAGTAGCACTATCCTATTAATTAAAGTGCCCCTATTATGCCTTTTCAAATATTACCTTTCATGCAGTGTGTCATGTAGCTGTATGTGAACATAAACTATCTGTAAAATTGTGAAGCCGACAGTGCACGATAAATAAAGATATTGTCTATCAAAAAAAAGAGTCGGCTCGCAATCGCCTAAACGAGTCGTCAGGAATTCGAATCTCATTCTGTTATGGCTCTACGTCATGAAGTAACACATTTGCATAATGTCTACCCACGTTCTACGTTGCTAACTTGCCTGCCCACAAACAGTAAAATTTCTGTGTGGTTAACATCATGTCGAGAAGACGCTGTATCCTACGCTGTGAGAGTAAATTTGTTTTATCACATCTTATAATTACCACAAACTTGTTAACACTTGACACTTACCACTGAGAAACGTCCTGCTCCAGTCGTGCTTGCGAATCAGTCTCTTGTCGATCAGCCAGTTCAACCGTTTCATCATCAGACTCCGGCTCGAATTGGTAAGGTACAATCGATACCATCTTTTCTATGTATTGACAAGTCTCCAGGGCTGTCATTCCGTCATGGCAATGGCGTTTTGTTTCCGACACGCGCTGTACACGTTAGACCAATCCAGAGCCAATCTCTCTACGGCTCTGGACCAATCACAAAGGACTGCGCCATCTGACCAATCACAGCAGTGAGGGCTCAAGGAAAGGAGGGGTTTAGAGAGACTGATTTTTTTAACTGCTTCGCACAAGTCGTTTACTAATCATTTAGAAATGAGGTCAAATTAAATCTATTTTTTGAGAAAACTAACGTGTTTTTTGACCTTGCATGCATGTAAACCTGTTTTAGGAGACTCATAAAACAATATTAGCAACCTTAAAAACATCATAATAGGGGCACTTTAACAAAACATTTTTTGTCAGATCTTTTCAATGAAATGGGTGATATGGTTTACAAAACCAGTCTGAATGATTTGTTTTTCATCTGATTTGGTTCTCCTCGAGTTGAACACACCAACTAAGCGATTTTCACAGTGATAAATAGCCCACTAAGGAGAAGATTATCACAACTTAAATTTCAGTCTGGTTATTAAGCCTCGTGCACACCGGGTAGATTATCGTGCGCTTATCGCCAGCATTTTTCGACACGTCTTGTGTGTTCATACCCAAGCGATTTTCACTGGCGATGAGCCGAATGAACATGCAAATTCACTCCCTGACATTAGATGGCGCTTAATGAAAAATACCCCGGTACACATCGAATCCTATTTGATCTGCAATTCCTCTCCATAACAACTCCCGCTTATCGAGATTTTTGTAGTCGCTGTCACGTTTGTCATAAAGCTCTTTGTGTTCAGACACCAATGAGACCAGCAGCTTTACATTCATCTTGCATCGATGCTTCTTCTTCGTCTACTTACTTCCTCTGCGTCGTTAGGTATCAATGTGTGCTTGGCAAGAGCGCCACCAAGTCGTGTTTTACTGTAACTTCAGCAGCTCCAGGCACGTGAACAAAAGCACCAATCTGATTGGTCGGCCAGTTTTTAACGAGGTGCGTCAAACCAAAAAAACGAGCCCGATGCATTTTTTTTTTTAAATTACGTTTTGCGCACCGGTGTGCACAATCACATTGGCGCCCTATGTTTAGTCACGAGGCGTTAAATGTCGGCGATAATCGCCTTTAGACAAACATGGACATTTTTTTTTATACATTTATAGTCCATTTTCGAAAAGTCCCCTATTCAATGTAACTGCATGGTAAAGACTAAGAGCAACTAGCACGTTCTGCAGAATTTCTCCTTTTGTGTTCTACTGAAGAATGTAAGTCAAATTACATGAGGGTGAAGAAATAATGACAGAAGATTCATTTTTGTAACTACTGCCCCTTTAAGGCAGTATTCAAATGTAATTTACACATTTTTTAACTTCTGTGTTTCTCAATGCTTCTGCTTTGCTTCTAAGTAATTTAAGACAGCAGAGCTAAAGCTATCTCTTTCTCTAAACACTCTCGCACGGCACTTAGTTCACTTCTCAGAGCACCCAAACTTCCTCATTCCATTGCTTTCTCTGGGTGCAATGTTTCTAGGCTGACTTCTCAAAAATGAGGATGGGAGGTTTATCTTTGGCAGGTCCGAATGGAGTTTTATGGGGAAATCCAAGGTTCACAAGAGACCGTGCATGGGGAACTTTCCCTGTACAAACACTGTCTTGAGAAGCACAACCCAGATGGACACGGTTGCTGTGGAGACCAAGAGGTTTGCAAGCCTGTGTGAGAGAGGACTTTCTGAAATGTCACATTCTCCCAGACACACCTCCCCCCACAAACACAACCTTGAGAGGCTGTTCTTTATTTACAGGCTATGCAGAAGACAATCTCCTACAGACTACAGAGCATCTAATGAGGCTACTGGACTACGGCCCAACGCTCAGGCTTAAAAAAGCTCAAATGATTTGTAAAGAGGAATGTTTTTTCACACAACATTCAAGAAAAACAAGACAAAACTATTAAACAATTATCTATGAGAATGTGAAACACCTAAAATACCACAAGGAATCACCTTTTTGGACAGTGATGGTTCCTGTTACCATTTATGAAGTTCAGAGCAACTTGCATTACTGAAATAAGGATCTGAAACAAGTTTTACTTTACAAGTATTACAAGTATTGAAACAAGTATTACTTTACATAGGGCATCATTTGACAGAAAAAAATACTCAGAAGTATAAAAGATGTTTAGTTGGCCATAGGTGTGTGAATCTTTGGGTAAACAGCTAATCTGGGGTGCGTTTCGCAAAAGCAAGCTTGGTCGCAAATTACGTTATTACCAGTAGAGTTCAATGGAACTAACGACCATAGTTAGCTAACAATGATTTTGGGAAATGCACCCCAGTTCGATTCACAGGTTTTCGATTCAATAATGCTTTATGCAAACAGAGAACAATTCTATTTCCTGATTAAATGAGATTCATTTTGATTCACAATTCATAGGTTTCTGATCCGATTCAAAATCAATCTAATTCAACTAACAATGGAATCTATTTTGATTCAATTCTACTCATGATACATAGGTGTTTGACTGGATTCAAGAACGATTTTGCAAATTGAGAATTATTTGATTCTATTTGCAATTCAATTCAATTCAATTTGACAGGTTTTTGATTTGATTCAATATAAATTTGATTCAACAATGGAATTTATTTTGATTGCATTTTGTTCATGAGTCATACTTTAGGTTTTCGATTGGACTCAAGAACGATTTTGCAAATTCAGAATTATTTGATTTTATTTGCAATGTAATTCAATTCGATTTTGATTAATGATTTGACTCTTTATACATATAAAAGTATTCCATATGCATTAATAGCCTATTTTTGAGAACTGTGAGGGCACAAACATGCTGCACTGTTTCTATTAATTTGCGCATATACTGTAACTACTTTAATGTTTACTTTGTTATATTTTTAAATAACGAATGAAAATGATCTAATCATGATAGCATTTTAAACCCATTAATACTCAAAACAATTGATTTACAATTCCAAAAACTGTTTCCAGCATGATGCATATGAATCAACAGAATTTGTAACTTATCATGAAATTTAGCAAACTGAAACAACTTTATAGAGACCAAAATACAGAACTTTACAATTTACCACATATAATACTATTTTGACTTACTTTGTCATTTAGACAACACAAAGTCATATGTTATCACTGACTCATTGAGAGAGGTGTCATTTAGATCCATGTGCAACACGAGCAACCCAAGGTCCCAAGAACACAGCTGGTGTTCTAGACAAATGGCAGCCATCAGTTGTTGCGCGAATAGTAGTATCCACTGAATCTGAATGGTGCACATGACATAAAACAAACTGATATCAATTACAATACACGGGCTGAGAGATGCAATGTAAGCTTACTGTTGAGTCAAGGAGTTTCAGGGGACAATAATGCTCTCTCATACAGACAATGCCAAATCTCTATTCCCTGATGATTTAAGATGTCATTTTTCCATCGTCAGTTGTGGCTGGAAAAGAATGCCAGGAATGTTCCCAACTTTCTTTTCTCTGGGCTACAGTGGAGTGGAGTGAAGTCTCTACATGTTATGAACATAGCCTGCACTCTACAGCGAATCTAATCAAAATGACATCTTGTAATGGAGGAAGGTCAACAGCGGCCTCTGTAAAATCACAAATACAATTTTGAGAGGCAGGTGATGTTTTGCAGGACAGCTGTAGTAGTGCATCAATGTATTAACTGCTGTCATGTTTCATATACAAGCTACTTCTTATAATATCAACATAACAAGGCTCGAATGACAAGCATAGACAGAGAATACTACTGCTGTCTATATTAATAATTCAAACCCTCCACGTGCAGCAAGGAACGTATTCTACAAATAGTTTTCTACAACAACACCTACACACTGATGGAGCATTTATACTGTATTCAAATATATTCCAATGAGCACTAACAGTAACTGCTACAAAACAGCTTATTCATACACTGAGCTCTTTTTCTCTATTTATAATTTTATTTTTATTTATAAATTTCCCTCAGCACCGCTATTTATGTGAAATACAGCAGTATAACAGAAGACACAATGTTAACTGAACCACTCGTGATTTATCTTCAGTTTAGGATGTAACCGAGGCTATCATTAAAACCACTACAATACTACGAGCTTCATACAGGATTAAATACAAGATTTAATTTACCTGTGTGATCACAAACGCCCTCAAAGCGATTAGACTGCGTTGCAGAAAGCCTCAACTAAAAACCGACGGCAAGGGAACTTTCCAGCGGATGCTCGCGCTCGTTTCCCTTCTGCCATTAACGTTCAATGTTTCTTAGAAATCAAACATCAAATGAGGGCAACAGGCGTTTCTCCCGCCTGTCATTACTTGGCTCACGCGTTGCAGTTAATCCGATGTCGATGGTTCTCTACGCCACGGCGGGATCAGCTGTCATCCCAATGGAAGTCCCAGCAGGCTGACCCTCGACTCGCATGCTGACATCAACATCAACACACCACCCTCCGCTGAGCGCAGGGCTCCCTTCAACATGCCTGAAGGAAATTCCTAATAACACAAGGTATTACGTGTCTGTTGACTCCTCAGCTTTTGAAACGAGGGAAATAGTCCAGTGAAATTCTGTACCGCTAATCTGAAACATATGGATATCGTGATATTTTATTTCACTGTTCTGTAGTGACACTACGTCATATAAAGGCAACCTGAAGTCAAACGGTTTGTTACCGTATATGTGATTTTTATTTTGAGACAGCGTCATTGGTTTGGGATTAATCACCGCTGACTGGACGAGACATCTGTCAATCAACATATACAGGGAAGAACCAGCCGAAGAACAGCAGTCTTTCAAAGGTAGAAAGTTCGGAGATGTTATTTAAGTAGCTCAGTTTAAATGTATGAATTGCCCTTACTCTGGAATAAAAAATATGGGGTGTCTATTTACATTTAGTTAAATAAAGTGACTGTAAATCATCAGCTCCAGTGGTGCAGATGGATGAGTGTGTGTCGTTGGCTTTTTTACGCGATCGACCCGGGTTCGATCCCGCCTTTTGCCAAACTTTTTTTCCCTCCCTTTTCAAATCTCGTATTAGCAATGGATTCTATTTAGACTAAGTGAAAATAGCAGTATTTTTAGCAATATGCTATTTACACTAAGTGCAAATACCTAGTTACACTATGTTAAAATAGCAGGATTTCTACTATCAAGTATACTACTTGTTGCAAATAGTGGCAATTATCTGCACTTCAGTATTGTAGTACATTATAAAACAGTATGCAATAATAATGTATTGAGTGTAAATTATAA